GTCAGGATGTCATGCAGACCCTTTTTTCAAGTATGTGCATCTAGAAAAACATTAACCAGAATGCAAAACCTAGGCTACGTGTTAAATAGTGCATACTGGTTACTAAAGCAAAGTGCATGGTGCACACTGTTTTACGTGCATAATGGGGGGGCTTTAGTAAAATATCAGGGGTCTAAACAGACCTCTGACATCTCCCTTTTGAAATAGAAAAGGAAATTGAGGACGGTTTTCTGCAGCCACTGCACTGAATGAATGGAAAGCACTCAGTACAGAGGCTTACCATTCATTCACAAACTGGAGATACTATCACTCAGTTATGAATGGATAGAAGCCTCTATACTAAGCTGCTTCTACCCATTCAGAAACTCATGAATGAACAGGGAGAGATGTAAAGTACTTCCTGTTCATTCATAACTGGGGGCACATAGTACTAAGCTTTCGGGGCATTGCCTATAGACAATTTGGGGTTATTATAGAGGGGGGGGGGAGGTTACCATTTTACTGGAGTGTGCAGTTTTGAAGCTTGACATGCTTGGTATCTATCTACTCATCGCAACTTCATCTTTTATATTTTACCAAAAAGTTGGGTAATATATTGTGTTTTATGTGCACTTAAAACAACTTAAGTGTATTTTTTACCTGCCTTGAGATCATTCACAAGCTCCTCCCATGTAGTTCTTGGCTGATCCCTCACTTTTCTCATGATCATCCTTACCCCATGAGGGTAAATCTTGTATGGAGCTCCAGACCGAGGGCGATTGATGGTTATCTTGTATTCCTTCCATTTGCGAATAATTGATCCAACAGTTGTTTCCTTCTCACCAAGCTTCTTGCTGATAGTCTTGTAGCCCATTCCAGCCTTGTGCAGGTCTACAATCTTGTCCCTAATGTCCTTGGTCTTGCCCATGGTGGTGAGGTTTGAATGGAAGAAAGAGAATCTGTGGACAGGTGTCTTATATACATAACGAGTTGTCGTTAAGAGCACCTTCTTAAATTGACAGGACTAATCTGTGTACCACATAGGCAGTCTGTGGGAGGAGCCAGAATTATTGTTGGTTGGTAGGGGATCAAATACTTATTTTACTCACTGAACTGCAACTCAATTTATAACATTTGTATCATGTGTTTTTGGTTGATATTCTGTTTCTATCATTTAAAATACACCTATGATAAAAAAAATATAGACCTTTAATTTCTTTGTAAGTGGGCAAACTTACAAAATCTGCAGGGGAGGAAATAATTATTTTCCTCACTGTGTGTATGGCTGTGTACACATATATATTCTAGTGTATGCATACTAAAATAGATAAGTGTGGCACTTTTTTTTTTTGTTCAGGCATCATCTAAGGTCAGAATCTGCTTCCAAGACTAAGATGATGGACCACAAATTTCAGCCCTCCTAGATGTGGTAAAACTAAAAATCCCATGTGCCATTGCAAGACTCTTGACAGCCACATGCATGGCTCCCAGAGGCAAAGGCATGATGGTATTTGTAGTTCCACCGCAGCTGGAGGGCTGATGTTTGGCTACCTTGATGTAAACCTTGGTGTGTGTGTGTGTGTGTCATCTCAAAATGCTGTTGCCTCTCACCCTTCGATTTTGTACAATGATAAAGTGTGCTGAGTGATCACTAGGGGTAGATGGAACATTGCCTGCCTGCAGCCGACTGATCCTGAGATAACACTTGACTACTGTAGTGCTCAAGCCTAGATTTAAAATTATGAAAAAAAACAAGCAGACTTTTAAAGCTGAGTGCTATATATTTTAGTTATCTGTTAAAAGGTATTTAAATATTCAAGACTATTGTCAATGCAGAGAAGGAAAAGGTCTTTCTGGTTTTTATTTGGGGTTTTTTTAGCAGCAGGAAGCCACCCCTCGCTCCCATGTGACTCTCAAAGGACTGAAGCTGTACTTGTGTGGATAAGAGCTTCCCCTCCCTCCTTTCATTGAGAAGATGGAAAAATATGCTAGAGCGCACAGAGATTTTCCAATAAGTCATATGTTCAAAAAACAAATATGTAGTGCATATCTTGAAGCCATGCACTTTTATTTGTGTGTTATCCCTTTTAAAGACCTTGCAAAAAAAAAAAAAAAAAACCCATTTATAAGTCAGCTCCCAAGTCCCATTTTCGACTGACAATACACGGTATGTGGACTGACTGGTGTCAGACCTGTCCAGTTGTCTTTTACTAAAACTAGTGGATCCCTCCCACTCATCCAATCCCCAGAAACAAAACTAATAATTGATTTGTATTCCAAGATGAGAACTAGGAGGGCTAATTGGACTCCTTAGGATAAGACATGAGGTCTGCATAGGGCTCAGAACAGCTCTGAGCAGCAGGTTTTTGGGGGGGGTTTTTGCACTTAAACAGAACAAAATTCTTTCAATTCTATATTTAACAGACTAAAATGGAACAAATAAGAGAAGCTCATTGTTGAGGTTTACATTTTATTGCATTGATAGTGCATCACTTGGTACTGCAGGAAAATTGGTTGGGTGATCCTCTAAGTCACCAGGGATCTCCGGCAGTAAGAACAGCTGGGATGGAGAAGCACAGTGGCCCACAAACAGGTATTGCTATATCACAGGACTAAGATGCTCAGATTCATGTCCCAGAAGACACCATTTCCTCCTTTTACTGTTTGGTTTTTTTTTACACTGTGTGTGTGTGTGTGTGTGTGTGTGTGTGTTTTGTTACAGGAGGAAACTGGTGGACTAATTGGCCCTAAAGCCAACCTCATTCATCAACCTGTGCTAAATGACATCTGTGTTTGTTACTCACAGCAACAATTAGATTTACACTTACACTCTCTAACTGTCATCTTCCAGGGAAGGTTGACATCTAATTGCTTGCTTTGGGGCAATGCAGACAATACTTATTTGGCACTCGTTGATAAATGAGGTTGAGTGTATTTGTTTGATGTAAAGAAATACGTTGGTACGCTCATTTTCTTCAATAGGATTATCCTCTATAAGATGACTGTGTACTAAATAATATTACATTCCAAAAAAGGCATCTAATCATAATTGTTTATTGCTGTGTTTGGTTATAGCGGTAGAGAACATAGTGTCCCCAAAAAAAATCTGCTCCCGTTAGGAATTCTGGGAAAATGTAAATGCCTGGCAAATTCATCACAATGTTTTACTGAACAATGTTGTTTTATGTTATAGTCACCATTCTGAGCCTTATATAATTGTCCAGTTGAAGGTGGCAATGATTTATTTAGACAATTGTAATGATTTTCTCATGACAAAGGCCACCCACAAACTAACAATGGTAGTTGGATGTGTATGCATATTACAGACTGCAGTACATACATAAAGATCAGCAATAAGTAGAGCAGAGCATTCTTGTTTATATTGGAAAGAAACGGTGGGAGGAAAAGAATGGTGGAGTGGGACTGTGCCTGAGCCGCTTAGCTCAATGAAAGTAGTGAGCATTTTCTAATCTGCCCAATTGATGCCATAGTAACGGCAAGTGGTTGTCTGTCACCCCTATAAATGTGAGGGGTATTAAGTAGGGCTGCGGAAATTAACGATTAATCCCTCGATTTAATCGTTAATTTTTTTGATCGATCAAAATTATTTTGATCGGAACTCACCTCCGCCGGCTTCCGGGTCTTTCGTCGGAGATCCGGTGACGTCACGGACTCCTCCCCCCTTCCCCGAGTGGCTCTGTTGGCTAACGAAGGGAAGGGGGAGGAGTCCGGTGACATCGATGTCCGTGACGTCACTGGACTCCTCCCCTTCCCTTGGTTATCAACATCAATATTTGCTGTTCTGGAAGTGCCTTGCTGCTACCTGAAACAATTTTCTCCTCTGTTGCCTTAAAAAAGACGCAACAAAACTAGCAGGTGAGGTGATTAGTATTTGATTATAATTCTAACACAGATTAAAACCTTACAGGTGTAGCCGAGAAATGTTTTTACAGCACAACAAATGAGCAGTTCAAACAATTATATATACATACTTTTTAACAGGATGTATATGTATATATATATTATATCTTTCTGCATAGTCCATTTACATCAGATATAGACCTTTAAATGACAACTGTATATTTAAGCCCCCTGTACTGTAAACCCCCCTTCCTCTGAGTGCAGCACCTGGTAAATACCAACCTTCCTCTCCGCTGCCATGCAGTCTGACATGCAGACACACAGCATTTGCAAGGAATACATGCCCGCCAGGTTTTCTTTTTTATTGTATATGCACACACATTCATTTATATGGATAAGCCATACAAATGGGGACCTTCAGACACTCAGGGGAGTATGGTTCAACCACAGGAATGAATTCATCAATGGCATGCAGTAGGAAAAGGACATGACCCTTCGTTAGCCTCCCCTTCCCTTCATTGTGAGCCTTATTGTAACTGCAAAGTAATTGGATCTTCTATGTGCCTCATTTTATAGGCTGCAAATCTTTCTCGTGTCCAGGCTGATATTTGGTAAGTATAGCCCCTCCATTCAGCAGTGCAGTTCCTGATCTGAACCATTGCACTGGTTCATTGTTCTTGATCTTTTCAGGAACAATGGATGACTGAATTTCTATTTCTGGACTTAAAACTGCCTTTATTATTAATTTTTTCCCCAACAATAAGTATCAATCACAGGGGCCCCAACAAGTGTCTGGGATCATAACTGTCCATTCGCAGCATTGGGGTCTAACAAATTTGGTTAGACCCCACAGAGCCCTGGTTAGACCTCACAGAGCCCTGCTACCCTGGTGAGACCCCCTCAGAGCCCAGGTGAGTCCCCAGGGAGCCGTGGGGAGACCCCACAAAGCCATGGTGCGACCCCATGGAGCCCTGGTGAGACCAGGGCTCTGTGGGGTCTTGCCAGGGCTCTGTGGGTCTAACAAGGCTGGTTAGACCCCACAGAGCCCTGCTACCCTGGTGAGGCCCCCTCAAAGCTCTGGTGAGACCCCCCTCTGTATTTGCGTTATAATTGAAATTAGTCGATTAATCAATTTAAAAAAAATTCGATTAATCGAACAGGAACATTTTAATCATTACCAGCCCTAGTATTAAGGCAATATGCATTTGTTTTGTATATAGATTTATTTGTTTTCCAGACTAAAATATTGTTTTCTTTGCTGGAAATCCCTATTTACAGAGCTCAGTAGCTCAAGCTGAAATTCACAACGGAATAAGTCAGAACATTAACTGATCACCCCCGGCTGCCTTTTTAAGAGACTGAAAGTTACTGCTTTGCTCTCTCCATGGCAAACTCGTATTGCTTTGCGAGTACTGCTATAGATGCACCCCAGTCTTAAATCTTTATTTGCAAAATACAGATTTTATGAAAGCAGTAAATTAACACTAAAATTGACCCCAAACCATTATAGTTTCCCTTTAAATATATTGAATTGCAAAATCCCATGGTTACTGGGCCAGTGTAACTACTGTATCCAGTAAGATGTCCTTCCTGTCAACCACAATATAAATGATGAAGTTATTTGTCTTATTAAATGAGGTGAAAGCAAGTAGAATAAACAGTACATGAAGCATCGCATCTACATCATTTTCTTCATGCTCCCTGCATTGGAAAAAACACAACAGAGATGGAACTGAGAGTTTTCACGCCTAATAACATTTTCATGTTTGACCTTGTAATTATTTTTCCTTTTTATAAATCGGATTTCTTGATCCTGTGCCCCAATTAAAAATTCTGTAACATATTTAAGTTTGCTTTACAGTACAAATAGAATTCAAAATATATCTGAAGAAAGGATATGATATACATGGGCAGTTGGACATCAATATTTTAAAAAATCCTTTGAAATTGCATTGGCATCTCCTGGATATTGGGAACTTTTCCTGTATGGAACCTGTATCCTCCAGATAAAGCCCTGACTGATATATTCACTCTTATGAAACGTTTTCTGGTCCACCAGCATGACCTTTTATGTAAGAAAATAGTACAAAATAGTTATTTATGCTGCTTCAAAGAAAATGCTGTTGTGCTATCTGCCAGCCAGGGTAATGTTTAAATCGGCGGTTCTCAACCTTTCTAGTCCCGCGACCCTTTGATTGCCCAAGTTGTGGCGACCCCTAACAGTAACATTATTTTTGTTGCTCCTTCATCGCTGTAATTTTACTACCGTTAGATAGCAGCTCCCGGCCGCCCGGGAGAGAAACACTTTCTCCCGGACCGGTTTACTCTGCTCGACTGAGCAGAGTAAACCTTTCCCTGCTCTGGGTTTTTTTTTCTGACATCGGAGCCGCCGTCCGCCGTCGGTCGGAAAAAAAACAGCATTGGAATTCATAGCTAGATTCCTATTGGCTATTTCAATTTGCAATATCCAATAGCAAGCTGGCTATTGCACCCGCCCTCTGCTGTTGTCAATTGCTAGAAGGGAACCTGATGGAGAACTTCAGGTCCCCTTCCGCTGACTGACAGCAGCAGTGAGCGGGTGCAATAGCTAGTTTGCTATTGGCTATTGCAAAGTGAAATAGCCAATAGGAATCTAGCTATGCATTCCTATGCTGTTTTTTCTTACTGCCGCCGGCTCCGATGTCAGAAAAAAAAAAAACCAGGGCAGGGTAAACCTCTCCGGGAGAAAGTGTTTCTCTCCCGGGCAGCCGGGAGCCACTCTTTTACAGCGGGAGATTCGCAGGGCGTCCAGGAGAGTTGGGATGTCTTTAGGTGACCCCTGGCACATTGTCATTCGACCCCCCAGGTTGAGAACCGCTGGTTTAAATGAAATAATAGGTATGGTTTACTAAAGAAGCAGATCATTATTCTCCTCAACAAGCAAGAGCATTGTAACTTTGTTTGACCATTTCATGCAACTAACGATTATTTTCATAATCGATTAGTTGGCCAATTATTTTTTCAATTAATCGGATTAAAACTTTTTAACTATTTTTAAAATAAACTACACAAATGGAGTGTTACAAAACATTAAGTTTACGAAAAGCCAGGTCATCAGTTTAGAGTTAGCCATGAATACTGGCCCGAGAATTATTGCTCTCATTCTGGCACTCACAGCAATACCTGACGTGTAGCACAATCGTCATTTTTGTATGTAGGTGCACCCAACTTGTCTCTGCTCGTATGGGGGCACGGGACATTACATTATTTTTTGGGTATTTTGAAATTAATTTTATTTACCTTTATTTTTTCTTTAACTCTATTGCTATCACATAGGGAAGCTCACAGACCCCTATGTGATAGCACATTGCAGATAACAGGTTCTTTTTAAGGTGACCTTAGGGGTCCATTAGACCCCTAAGGTCACCTTTCCATTTCAAAGGAGCCATTCAAGCACACATGGCTTAAAGTGACATTAAACCCTCAGATTTTTTACATAACCAATACTGTTATGTGTATTGTTAAAAGTGTGCCTTACTGTAATCCATGGTAGTTTCCCTTCTCTTTGCTGCTCTTCCTTTTAAATCCTTATCTCTTCTCATGCTGGGGGAGATCTTCCCTTTGCAGCTGGGTGTCTCTTCCTGTAGTGCTGGCTCAGGTTACAAACCTACACACAGACACCATATATCCATTCCAGAGACAAGGCAGTCTGCTGCAAAACAGAAGTTCTGCCCACCATGAGAAGAGATACGGATTTAAAACGAAGAGCAGCAAAGAGAAGGGAAACAACCATGGATTACAGTAAGGCACACATTACAGTATTGGTTTATGTTTAAAAAATCTGAGGGTTTAATGTCACTTTAAATAGCTTCAGCCAGGAATGTAAACACAGCAGGCAGTGGGTGTGTGCAATAGCCCGCCTGCTATTGCAATTTGGAATAGCCAACAGCAGGCTGGCTATTGCACCCGCCCACTGCCTTCTGTCAATCAGCAGAAGAGGGACCTAAAGAAGAAAGTTCTCCTTCAGGTGTTGCTCTGCTGATTGGCAGAGGGCGGATGCAATAGGCAGTCTGCTATTGGCTATTTCAATTTGCAATAGCAGACTGACTATTGCACACACCCACTTCCTCTGAGCCTCTCCGACCTGTCCAGCAGCGCCGTACTGTTTCCTGTCTCACCCCCTCTCTGGCAAGTCTGTCTCAGAGCGACCCTGGTGTCTGACAGCCAGTCTGTCTCCCCTCAGGTGCCCTCTGCCGATACAGGCAGGGGGAGCAGCGGGATCAGAAATGACACAAACTGCAGAGGGGAGGAGGGAGGTGGCAGCAGCCAGGGAGGAGTGGCTGAGCAGAGTTGTAGCAGTGGCCGGGGGGAGGAGTTGAGAGAGTAGTTGACAACTATTCCCATTATTAACCATTACATCAATTAGTTGTTGGAGCCATATTTTCATCATATCTATTACTTGTACTGCAAGGAGTTTAACAAATATACATATTTCTACTTGCTTCTGTGTTGGAGATACTAAACACACCTGTTCCTATACAGTACTTAAATTTTTCAAAATAAAAGCTAAATGGGAGTTTATGCAGGGAGGGGAATTTAAAGAGATCCTTTTGCCAGATCATTCATTTCCACAAAAGTTTTCCCATGTGATTATGTGTGCATTTAAAGTAGTATTAAACTCTCAAACTTTTTTTTTTTTCCACTAATGAATCCAGATCAAGCAAATATACATTGCTCAGCTAAGTATTTTACATTTTTGCCCAAACGCTTACATTTATCATGTTTCCAAACAGCTCCAACTCCTTCAGCTTGGCTTCCCTAAACTTCCTGTTTGGTACAAGATCACAAAGAGCGGAGCAAACTCCAGCAGCTGATCATCTACCATAGAGCAGGGAGGATAGGGTAGCAGCTGGCCTTGCTGCGGCTGCCTTTTTGTATAGACACACTCAAGGGTGGCTCTATAGGACCATGCAAGGGAAAGTAACCACCCAGCTAATCCTGCAGGAAACTAAAACTTTACAACATCAAGAAGCAGCATCCATTGTAAGTGAATAAATCATCATTTCAAATAGCCTAGAAACCTTTGGCCTTTAATGTTAGTTTATGCATGTTATTTACTTGTAAAAGCCTCCCTTGTGTAGGCATCCAAAAGTCCTGAGATGGCTGCTGAGCACTACCGTCTTAAATGGGCTGCCAGCAGCCGCGTCACTCAAGTGATGCTCCCCAACATTTCCCTTTGCTCCTCTCCATTCAGCTACAGAAAAGGTTATGTGGAGAGGGATGGGGGAGCTGGGTCAGTACAGACAATAATTAGACATTTCCAGAACAGGAGAGGTCTATGATGTGCGAGGAAATTGTCCTGGAGTTTTCACATTTTCTAGTGCGTTCAGAAGCACATTGCAAGTGAATAGGAAGCATATATAGTAAAGCTACACCACTGCAAGTAAACATTTAAACCTTTTTTTTTTTTCTTTCTGTGCTTTTGCCTGGGTTTTTGTAAGAAGGGTCTCTTTAAAGTTGTGGTTACCCGTGCTACATCCCCATATAAGGATATATATCAAATTGTCTTGTCTATGTGTTGGGCAACCCTACCGAACATAGTCTAACAGGACTGGTGTGACTGAGCCCTGACACACAACCGTATCTGCAATGTCAAGAAGATATATGATGTACCAATTTTATTTTTGCTATAAATACTCTCGCTCAATCATAACAGATCAAAGGGGTGACCTTTTATCTGCAGATGGTGTCCGTAAAGCAACCTTGCACATTAAAATAATTAAACTGTGTTGCTATTTAACCTTTTGTTAACCCTAAAAAGTCCTAACTAACTCCTTCCTCCCCTTTGATAAATAGCGCACAATCACGGGTGCCACTGATCGCTGTCTTTAATAATTAATCTAAAGGTGCCCATACACTGCTCATTGATAAAATCCAGGCAATGCAATGTAGAGCTGCAGTGCCCCATATCATTTTCTCTGCTTAACTCAGCAGACAGCTGTGTGACTGGTGGGTAGAGAGCTGACCATAAAGGTGCCCATACACTGCTTGATTCTCGTACGAGAATCGCGGGAAATCCCGCGATCGTACGAGAATCGAGCAATGTGAACGAAGATGTGCGACCGTTTCTTTTGTCTAAGGAGCAGGCTAGAAAACCACCTGAAAATTGTACGATTTTTGGCTGGTTTGAACG